TATGGTTTGGGTGCTTCAACTCAGCAATGAGGAAATATGGCTTTCAATAAAACAACTCGGATAGTACTTTATTCATAAAACATCACCAGGGTAAGGTAACAGTTTTGATAGTTTATGTAGATGATATGATCATTACAGAAGATGACTTAAAGGAAATAGCAAGACTTCAAGAGCAATTAGCCATAAAATTTGAGATGAAAAATCTAGGAGGACTCAAATATTTTATGGGAATTGAAGTTGCTAGGTCAAAACATGACATATTCCTTTCCCAACAAAAATATATCCTGGATTTATTATCAGAGGTAGGATTACTGGATTGTAAGCCTGTAGATACACCGATAATTCAAAGTCATAGACTAGAAGAATACTCAGACCAAGTGCCAATAGATAAAGAAAGGTATTTAAGAATAATAGGAAAATTGATTTATCTCTCTCATACATGGTCGGACATCGCTTTTGCAGTAAGTGTGGTAAGCTAATTCATGCATTGTCTAAGTGAAGATCATATGAATGCAGTGATTTAGATTCTCAAATACCTAAAGTTCTCTCCTAGAAAAGGACTTATGTTTACAAGAAACAATCACTTACGAGTGAAAGGTTACACAGATACTAACTGGGCAAGAAATATTTCTGATAAAAAATCAACTTCAAATTATTTCACGTTGGTTGGAGGAAACCTAGTTACCTGGAGAAGTAAGAAGCAAAAGGTGGTAGCATTATCAAGTTTTCGTGGGATGGCTACAGGCCTTTGTGATCTTCTCTAGCTTCGAAGGCTATTAACTGGAATTGGCCTTACTCCTACGGGAGAAATGAATCAATTTTGTGAAAACAAAGCTGTAATTGATATCTCCCACAATTCAATCCAGCATGATTGAACCAAACATATGGAAGTAGACCGACACTTCATCAAACAAAATCTTGGGGCCAAGATAATTTGATTTCATTTGTTAAATCCGAAAACCAGTTGGCAGACATACTTACAAAAACTGTATGTCGTAGAAACTTATACAACTCATTTGGCAAGTTGGGCATCCGAGATATATATGCACCAACTTAAAGGGGAGTGTTGGCATGAGTTGTCCTCTGCAAGATTAAAAAAGGAAGATCAGCAATATATTCATTAACTAATTAAACCCATAAATGTATAGCCATAATTGGAAATTTATGTTATTTACATTATGGTAACAATATGTTATATATATCCTCTTATTCATGTAAATAATTAATTGAAAGACGAGAAATATTACTCTCCATTTTCCCTCCATTCTGTTAGTAGTCTCCTTGAGCTTAGTTTGGGAGGTTTACTCTAGCAATGAAAGCAACCAGCTATCAATAAAGCAATGTAGATCATATGCTATTTGTAAAATATAAAGATGAAAAGGTAAAGACATTAATTGTGTATGTAGATGACATGATTTTGACAAGTTATATTCCAAAGAAATGAGGACACTGTAAGAATGCTTATCTGAAGGGTTCGTAATGAAAGATTTAGGACAACTGAAGTACTTTCTTGGTATTGAAGTAGCAAGGTCCAAACAAGGAATTTCCCTCTCACAATATAAATACATATTGGATCTTCTAAATGAGGCTAGGACGCTCACCTACGAACTAGTTGAAACATTAATACAAATGAATCATCAACTTGGAATCCTTCCAGATCAAATCCCTACAAATATAGGCTAGTATCAAAGACTTGTGGGGTAAGCTAATCTATCTAACCCATACTAGGCCGTATATAACATATGTTGTAGGTATTATGATCTAATTTATGCATGCACCAAGTGAGGAGCATATGGATACAGTCTACAGGATCTTAAGATATCTTAAAAGTGTGTCTGGTAAAGGTTTATTGTACTTGAAAGATATTGTCTCAAATATTAAAGGCTATACTAATGCAGAATAGGTAGGAGATCAAATAACCAAAAACAGAAAGTTGTAGCAAGATCTAGTGTATAAGTAGAATTTTGAGGAATAACTCAAGGAATATGTTAGTTGTTATAGATCAAAAGTATTTTGAAGGATTTAGAGATCAAATATACAGATTTTATTAATCTGTACTATGATAATAATGCGGCAATTCAGATTGCACACAAAATTATTCAGCATGATCGAATTAAACGTGTCGAAATAGATCGTCATTTTATCAAAGAGAAGCTAGATACAAATTGTATGTTTCCTGTTTGTTAACTTTGCAAATGAATTAGTTGATGTCCTCACCAAGACAATTATCAAACAATGATTTTTATTGTATAATTGGCAAGTTGGACATGATAGACATCTATGTAAGGGGGAGTGTTAGCTGACAAGATATGTATAGATCCTAACATTATAGGAAATCTGTTTGTTTCCTTGTAAAAATTATTATCCAATTTAGAATATGATTCTAAGTAGAATAGGTTTCGTTACTGCCCTGTATACATAGTTGCTGAACAGATGAATAATATAAGAAGTAGAGAATATTTTACAAAGCAGAAATTAGAGGTGTTTAAAAAAACCAAGTAACTGAAAAAACCGAGAAAACAGATGAAAAATTAATCGAAAAAACCAAATAAAGATGAAAAACCAATTAAATCGATTACTAAAACTAGAAATCTTTCCGGTTTGATTCGGTTTTGGTTTTGCTACTAAAACCAGTGAACTAAACTAGTCCACCCATAAAATAAAGTTAAAAATGACTTAGTATAAATAATATAGTAAACCTAAATCTAAATGACATTACAATTTATTTTTGAAGCTGCCGCTTATACCAGACCAATTCTTCTTCCTTTTCCTTTTCAATTTTCATCCTCTTTGTCTCTTGCCCCCTTCATCTGTTTCTTTTCTAGCCGATCAATAAGTAAACAACCCACCACTCTTGCCCCCTTCATCTGTCTCTTTGAGATGTGACCAGGTTGTTAACCATGGAGGATGCGTACTATGAAGAGGAAATGAGAGTTGTAGTTAACAATATGCTTTCAAAGGCCCATATGCTAGGTGAAGGGTAAGTTTTATGTGATATTCTGTTTCAGATATATAGTGATTTTCCTTAATCATTCTTTGTAAATTTCCAGAAGACAACCTTTCGACCATTTTTTCAATGATTTCTATTCCAAGCTTTAAAAAAAACTTTAATAGGGTTAATGCAGTTGTCATGGTCTAATTCATAATTGTTGGCCAGGCTACTTCCACTGGAAAGCACCAGTGGATTTTCTCAGATGCTAGTGATGGAGGCTGGAATTCTGTTGCCTCTGTTAGAGGTCAGGATATATTCCAAGTACTTCGTCCTTTGCTTCTTCTTTACCATTTACTCCTGTGCTAGTTATCATGGAAAATATTTTTCCTAGTTTTTTTTTTTTAAATCGCCCAAAATTCTTGAATGTTAGCTGACTAGTTTCTGCTTGCCTGAAAATTTCCTTTTCTTGCAGGATGATTTTGAAATTCATCGCCAATTTTCTTCTGGAATAAAGGTACTGCATGTTGGAACGCAAAATTTTACTTTTATAACTCATTTTCTTTTTATGATATTTCTCTTGAAATTCATTCGAGCTTTGTGTATCTCTTTTTTTCATCCAACACCCTAATCATTTGTATTGACTATTAATTTCCATTTGTAGACAATTGCAGTAATATCCGTGGAATCACAAGGAATGGTACAATTTGGATCCACCCAAAGGGTGAGCACATTGAAAGCAGACCGAGTGGATTTAACTATCCTACAAAAAATATACTTGGGGTCAAGTTGGGGGGTTATACCATTTATTAAAAATATATTATTTCTGCGTCCTTTAACTGACGAGAAAGCAAATATCCATGACCTACCACATATCAAGCGTGGATGGTTGTTTGTTGATTTCAATGCTTTTAATATTACAGATTTTGGAGTCAGAGGAATTTTTGGGTCAAACAAAAAGGTTGTTTGATAAGATGGAAAATATTAATGGGCTTACTTCAAATTCCGACTCGCCTTCATCTTTGAACTGTGAAAGTTATGAAAGAAGGCTAACTGCAAATTATAGTTTGCTTTAAATTTTAAAGAAGGCTAAGCAAATTTTAAAAAAACCAAAAAAAAAAAAACTAACTTCTAAACCAGATTTTTTTTAAAAAAAATTGGATTTAACCGAACCGATTTCCAATCCAGTTTGGTTAATTTTTAACAAAAATACTGTAATTTGATTTAGTTAGTTTTTAAATTTAAACTAAACCGAACCGAACCATAAACACTTCTCACAGAAATCCCTTATTGTATAGCTTGTCGTAATTAACATAACACGTACATGGTTAACATTAATAGAAATACTTAATTTTTTAATCAAAAATAGTTTAAGATACTAAAAAAAATAATTCAAGTACTAAATTCACTTCTACTCGCAATTCACAATTACACACACATATTTGGAGTCAAAGACAGTTGAGATTTGGAATTTCAATATCTAGGCATTGAGGTCATAACCTCGAAAGAAGAAGGTTATATATATAATCCGAACCTTTTGATGAATGAAGGAGCTATTGCAAGTTGAGTTCCATGAAAATATTTTTTCAGTAGGAAACGTTAACTTGTAAAATGATATTAAAATATTGATGATGTATATTCTAAAGAGTAATGTATCTCATCAACATGGGATGCACCGGCATGCAAAGTTTCAAATCAACGGTCTGTTGTTAGAATTCATTTGACTTGTCTTATTACATGATTCCTTATTGATATATATATATATTAAATCCATAGTTTATAAATCTGAATCAATTTAGTTTGGAAAAGTTATAAGTGACAAGTTAGTGGATTCGAGTTGACTAGATGAATTTTATTTTTATTGCTTTTATAAAAAAATAAAAATGATTTAAAAAAAATTAACAAGTTTTGATTGAGTTTTTTTAGATTAATCAGGTATTACATTAATTCTTGTTTTTAACTAGATCACAATAGGTGAGTTAGACCTCAAATTTCATCACAGGTCAACCAACCTCATCAGTGAAGAATTTTATTTTCATTAAAAAAAAAAAGGAGTACAACTACTCTAATTGCTTCATTTATATTATGTACTTTGTTGAATACCTGCTCTCTCCTAAAAAAAGAAGAGAAGAATAATTATGCCTCTAATTTGAGGACTAATTAATTATATAGACATGCATGGCACCACTATATATTGCTGATATTTCCATGTCTCCATCACAAGAGTTTCCAAGCTCTGCCACCATCCATATTGAACTTCTTTAGTCTTCCAAACACCATCACCACTATGAGAATAATCTTCCCCTCATCACTCCATTTCCCTGAGAATCCATAAGATTTGTTCACACAATTACTATTAGGTTGTGTTTGCCTGTCACAACTGTAGCCTGTTGTAAATCCTACTCTTCCATAAGCACTGCAGCAGAAAAAAGAAAAAGAAAAGAATCAAAGATGTTAGACCCTACACTTCCATAAGCACTGCATCAGAACAAAAAAGAAAAAGAAAAGAATCAAAGATGTTAGTTAGCTAATTACCACATTTATTTCATCAATTATAATAAAAATTGAGTTCAATATCCACAAGGAAAAAAAGGCAAAAATATTTGTACCTGACTACTTCAACCACAATATTCAATACATTGAAATTGAGAGGATCTTCCTTCAGTTTTCGCCTCTCTGTGATGCATACAAGGATGATGAAAATAGCTAAATATGATAGTTGAGAGAACAGTATACTCTCCGAAAGCTTTCCCCTTCTGTTTCTTTTCTTCTTATATATTTCTTCGTCATCTTTTATGGGGAGGAAAGAAGTATAAGGAGGAAGATACCTGAAAAATAAAATGGATAAAGTTATTTCAATGTATATATTCTATTTTCTTAGTAAGAGAAATAATATTTTATGAAGTTGACAACGAAAATAAAATATGAATTCTTTTGGTAAGGTCAGAAGTGGAGTTTTCAAGTCATATAAAATCTTACATTAAAGTCTACCTCAGTAATCCTATGATGATTTCGTATCCTAGGTTACATTATTGGTTTTACAAGTTTGATTAGGATTTTCCAATTATTCTATAAAATAATAATGAAGGTTACATTATTGGCTTTTCAAGTTTGATTAGGATTTTTCAATTATTCTATAGAATAATAATGAAATACAAAGTTATTAAATCCTTACAGCAAGTTAACTTGGGTACTTAACCTTCATTCTAAAACCAAATCTTTTCGAAAGAAAAATCTAGAAATCAATTCAAGTTTTCTAATTAAATTTAAATTTTTAGTTTGCAAATCACTAGGTTGATCTGATAAATAGAAACTACTTTATAATAATTAAAAAAAAGCCACTTTATCCTATAATTAACTAGAACAACTCATATTTGATTTAATTTAAAATTAATTTAGATTTAATTTTAAGTTCGCAAATCACTAGATTGATCCGATAAATAGAAATTACTTTATAATAATTAAAAAAAAGCCACTTTATAATATAACAAAAATATTATGAATAGAAACTAATTTATAATAAAAAGAAAAGTAAATGAATTGCATATGAGGACTAACTTAATCTACTATTTATCATATAGTTAGTTCATTCCTCACATTTGTTTTAATGATTTATTTAATTTGGACCTTTTCTGATTATAAGGCTGTTCTGTGTACCAATTACCAAAACAACAAAAGGAAAATGGGGAAAATGCCACCTTTCTTAAAGACAAAATACATAGAAACTATAGGTTATCAATTTACGCGTTATTTTAACTTAGATAGAGAGGAAAGAGAACAAGGATTTATGCGTTATTTAAACTTAGACTGAGAGGAAAGAGAACACTTACATCATGACCACAAACAGCACCAAGACAGCTGAGGAGATGGTTGAGAGGTCCACGATGCTTTCTCCAGCATATCTTGCATTCATGGTCTGAAACAGTACTCCTATAGTCTTTTGGTAAGAATTTAGACCACTTAATCCAGCTGAATTCCACTCCATGGAGCAAAATAATATAAATTGAGTGATGATAAACCCAAAAACAGTAACGACCAAATAAGAAGAATGCTGGCTTGGTAGCAAATGAAAATACCCAATTTCACTTGTTTTCTTCAAGAGGTAATTTGATTCTACTCTCTTGAAAAACTTTCCCAGGAACCAAACACAGAATCTTAGGCAAGAGGGAAACAGGGTGTTTCCAAGAAGAATTTGAGGGACGAGGATGAGTAGGAGGCCTGAGTTATTCCTAAAGACCACCATGTTTTCGTTTGTTGGAAGAAAACCACAGTTGGCAAAAGTTGAAACAACGGAAAAGATAGAAAATGTTAGCAAGTTTAGCCCCTTGTTTTTTAGCACTTCTCTTGCACTAGAAACAAGTGCTAGGTAGGTTGAAACTAGGGAAACTCCTAGAACTTGAATAACTATAAAATATCCCAAAACCACAAAACACAAAAACTTGATTGATTTGTACTTCAAGAAATCTACACTACTATCTAATGAAGTTTCATGATTTCCTGATTCAAGATTTTCAAAATCTTGTTTTTCTGTCATTACCAACCCAGATTGGTAAGTGCTAGGATCATTGTTTGCAAGGGAAGAAATTCTGTTTTCCATTTTCTGAAGTTGAGACTTCTTGAAATGAAGTCCAACCATGGAAGTGAAGATTTCTCCACCAATGAGCATTAAAATGGTCAAAACGAGGAGTTGGGAATTGGAGAAAACTTCCATCTCAACAGTTGACATACTTGAAACTGTGGTGGCAGACACGGATGTGAAGAACAGATCTAAGTTCCTAGGCTTAAAAGAATCATGGGTTCTTGGCTTCAAAACCTTCAGAACAACAAAACCAAAGAGAGAAACGGAGAGAAAATAACAAAGTTGAATAAAAAAAGAATTCACTCTAACAACCTTCAGAACAACAAAACCAAAGAAAGAAACGGAGAGAAAATAACAAAGTTGAATACAAAAAGAATTCACTCTAACAAGGATTAGACGGTAGAAACATGACGTTAGACACCAAGTTGAGCTACAAAGATGGTGCGAGGCTTTGCTAAAAGAACAAATAATTGTCATCCTTAATCACTTTGAAAGGAAATTGTAGTATTGTAGTTCACTAAGGAGCAAAATGGGAAGAGGGTCTGTGATTCTATATATAGGGAACGATGTTCATGGTTCACAATTCTTGGCTAGGGAGGTGGTGAAGTTAACCTTGGAACACCACATGGCTACATGTTGAAGCCTATGCCTTTAGTAATTAAGTAAACTGTGGAAGGAAGACAAGCATTTGGGATTAGGGGAGGAAAATTCTTCATTGGATATGGTTGTCGGTTGAGTTGTGGATTAGAGCGTATTTAAGTCTGTCCAATGGTAGAGTGACAAGTTGAACAACACCTCCCCAATAATGCTTGATGCAGGGTCGATAGCATGTTAGCTGGCAAGATATGTGTGGATCCCAACATTATAGGAAATTTGTTTGTTTCCTTGTACCAATTATTGTCCAATTTGGAATCGGATTCCAAATAGAATAGGTTTTTTTACTACACTATATGTATAGTTGCTGAACAGATGAATAATATAAAAAGTGAGAATATTTTACAGAGCGGAAATCTCTTATTATATGTTTGTTATAATTAACATGGTATCGGAGCAGACGAATTTTTTACACGGTTCTTTCCTGCATCTCTTTTTGAACTTCGTATTCTATCAATTTTCTACTGCAAACAATGACAAAACAAGAACGAAACCCGATTGTTCCAGTCACCCCGAACAACCTCCTGCGAAACCTAATTATCATTCAGAAAGAAAGATATAGTTTTCCTGTCAATGTTATTCTCTGTTGCAGGGTTGCGAGCACCATGACATCATCTAGTGATGGCATAGACTTTTATTGTGCTTTCAATATGAGGTGTTGTATGTTGGGAAAAATTTTTAAATTTAATCATAAAATTATGATTAATATTTAGAAATTATTACCTAATATTATGTTATTAGGAACCTATGTTTTATGAGAGTCTAGATAAAGGACTGGTTGTGTAAGGGGAAGATGCATCACTCCTAGTGCACCCTACTTGAAATAAACTATATTATTATTTGATTTTTTTTCTAGGTCTGGTTTTTATTCATTGATCTTTTATAAGGTTTAAAACAGATATCTCATCATGAGCAAGTCTCTACTTTATAGGGTCAAATCCTAAGGTCTGGTTTTTATTCATTGATCTTTTATAAGGTTTAAAATAGATTTCTCATCATGAGCAAGTCTCTACTTTATAAGGTCAAATCCTAACCATTCTAAAGTCTGAATTTTAGTATTGCATTTATTTACACCTTGTGTTTTTAATACCGAGGTTTACTTTATCGTGTAATTTTACAGCCATAAATATTAAAGTCTACATCTAGACCCTAAAAATTTTGGAAAAAGTTTTTTGATATTTTGGCCAAACCCTAATGGATGATCATAAACTAGTTACGATATTCATTTTTTTTTGAATTTTCAAAACATGAGAAAGAAACAATCTTTTAATGAAAATATGCTTGAAAGATTTTTAAGATTTTTCCGTATGTATAAATATTATTTTTTTTTGAAAAGGGAAATTGATTTAAAGGTTTTTGAGTTTTTTTTTTGAAATATTTTAGAGAAAAACATGTATTTTATACTAAATTTGTATTTTATAGTGTAAATATAAAATATGATATTATATGAAATTGGTAGAAAAATATTTGAGAAAATTACAAATTTTTGAATGGATATTTGAATTTTTTTTTGTTTTTTTAATATTATAATATTAAAACAGGTGGGCTAATATTAGCCCAAATTAGTTGGGTCAAACTTGACCCAACATATTCTTTTTTAAATTTTAGGGACGGGCTGGACCCGGCCCAGTCAATTGGGTTAGGCTAAGACAAGTCCAACCTAAAGTAACTTATTCACTAGCACAACCCAGTGACTAAGTTACATGAAATGATGCAATGTGAATTATAATTGACATTGCACTGTTCAGAGAGGGAGCTAACGATAGCAGGGAAGGGAGGAAAAAGAAGAAGAGAGGAGGGCGGCTTACCTAGCATTGAGGGAGCTGGTGGCCTGACTGGTGGCACACGGTACGACTAAAGGCAATGAGGTCGGCGGCTGGCTCTGGTCATAGCTGGAAGAATAAGAAGCAAGGGCCTACAAAGGAGAGTGGAAGCTCACGGCTAGAACTGTTGGAGTGGCTGAGGAGATAATTGGTGCACTAGCTGATGTTGAGAAGGACAAAGCTTTTATGTGAGGTGGTTATTGCTGTTATTGCTATCAGGGTCATTGTGCAGAAAAGAAGAGTTTTACAGAAGAGAGAGAGAAGTGGTGCAACCACCACGTGAGATGGTTTAATGGCTACTTGAGGTGGGGATAATGGTAAGAAGAGAGGGGATAAGGGTAGTGGTGGGTGAAGGCCACGGCGGAGAGAGAAAGAAGAGAAAGGACCGGTTGGAGGAAAATTGAGCAGGGAAGGCTGGTTTTTAGCTAACTTTACGTTCGATTTTCTCCCCCCTTTGAACATGAAATCTTCTTCTACTTATAGAGGTAGAAGAGGGTAACCTTCTCTTCATTGAGGAAGAAATCTCAGTCCTTGATTTGGTTGGGAAGGATCCCAACTATTGGCTCAAAGTAGACATGGTGTCCTATCAAATTTGCAGCTGCAGGCTACCTGAGTTGGCCTCTTTCGGGTGATTCCATGTCCATCTCTTTGCTAGTGAGTCGGTGATGACCATACCCAGACATAGAGGGATGTTTTATCAATTAGAAATCTAATCCAGAGTTGACATCACTAGAAACTCAACCTATTATCAATTGGGAATCTAATCAAGAGTTGACATCTTCGAAAGCTGAAGTAACATCTCTAGAAGCAGTAATAATACCCCCCACTTTTCAGTATCCAATGACCCATCTCCTGAGAATATCATTGAGGTAGGCTCTCTTATCACAACTCATATTCTTGATGATATGGATACCCTTATTAGCTATGAGTTACCTTTTAGGCAAAATCAAGGAAAACCACCAAATAGATATTTTTTAGAATTAGAGGATTAAAGATCAAGATATCCAATTGCCAATTATGTTTCAACAAAGAAAATGTCTGAATCTCTCAAGAATTTTATGAATGAACTCTCTTCACATCATATTCCCACGAGTGTTGATGAAGCTTTGGATGAGTCTAAATGGATCCGAGCTATGAAGGAGGAAATATAAGTTTTACTAAAAAATAAAACATGGAATCTTGTTTCCCTACCAGAAGGTAAAAAAATAATAGGATGTAAGTGGGTATTCTCCATCAAATACAAAGCTGATGGGTTAGTTAAAAGGTATAAAACAAGACTAGTGGCAAAGGGCTACATGCAAACTTATAGCATAGACTATCAAGAAACATTCTCACTTGTGGCAAAGTTGAGTATTGTTAGAGTTCTACTATCTCTCGCAGCAAATCTTGATTAGCCATTACACCAGTTTCATATTAAAAACACATTTTTACATGGAGATCTTGAAGAAGAAATCTGCATGGATGTCCCTCTAGGATATATAGTAAACTTTGAAGCAAAGATCATGTGCAAACTACAAAGAACTTTATACAGCCTAAAACAGTCTCTTAGAGCATATATGGTTTGGGTGCTTCAACTCAGCAATGAGGAAATATGGCTTTCAATAAAACAACTCGGATAGTACTTTATTCATAAAACATCACCAGGGTAAGGTAACAGTTTTGATAGTTTATGTAGATGATATGATCATTACAGAAGATGACTTAAAGGAAATAGCAAGACTTCAAGAGCAATTAGCCATAAAATTTGAGATGAAAAATCTAGGAGGACTCAAATATTTTATGGGAATTGAAGTTGCTAGGTCAAAACATGACATATTCCTTTCCCAACAAAAATATATCCTGGATTTATTATCAGAGGTAGGATTACTGGATTGTAAGCCTGTAGATACACCGATAATTCAAAGTCATAGACTAGAAGAATACTCAGACCAAGTGCCAATAGATAAAGAAAGGTATTTAAGAATAATAGGAAAATTGATTTATCTCTCTCATACATGGTCGGACATCGCTTTTGCAGTAAGTGTGGTAAGCTAATTCATGCATTGTCTAAGTGAAGATCATATGAATGCAGTGATTTAGATTCTCAAATACCTAAAGTTCTCTCCTAGAAAAGGACTTATGTTTACAAGAAACAATCACTTACGAGTGAAAGGTTACACAGATACTAACTGGGCAAGAAATATTTCTGATAAAAAATCAACTTCAAATTATTTCACGTTGGTTGGAGGAAACCTAGTTACCTGGAGAAGTAAGAAGCAAAAGGTGGTAGCATTATCAAGTTTTCGTGGGATGGCTACAGGCCTTTGTGATCTTCTCTAGCTTCGAAGGCTATTAACTGGAATTGGCCTTACTCCTACGGGAGAAATGAATCAATTTTGTGAAAACAAAGCTGTAATTGATATCTCCCACAATTCAATCCAGCATGATTGAACCAAACATATGGAAGTAGACCGACACTTCATCAAACAAAATCTTGGGGCCAAGATAATTTGATTTCATTTGTTAAATCCGAAAACCAGTTGGCAGACATACTTACAAAAACTGTATGTCGTAGAAACTTATACAACTCATTTGGCAAGTTGGGCATCCGAGATATATATGCACCAACTTAAAGGGGAGTGTTGGCATGAGTTGTCCTCTGCAAGATTAAAAAAGGAAGATCAGCAATATATTCATTAACTAATTAAACCCATAAATGTATAGCCATAATTGGAAATTTATGTTATTTACATTATGGTAACAATATGTTATATATATCCTCTTATTCATGTAAATAATTAATTGAAAGACGAGAAATATTACTCTCCATTTTCCCTCCATTCTGTTAGTAGTCTCCTTGAGCTTAGTTTGGGAGGTTTACTCTAGCAATGAAAGCAACCAGCTATCAATAAAGCAATGTAGATCATATGCTATTTGTAAAATATAAAGATGAAAAGGTAAAGACATTAATTGTGTATGTAGATGACATGATTTTGACAAGTTATATTCCAAAGAAATGAGGACACTGTAAGAATGCTTATCTGAAGGGTTCGTAATGAAAGATTTAGGACAACTGAAGTACTTTCTTGGTATTGAAGTAGCAAGGTCCAAACAAGGAATTTCCCTCTCACAATATAAATACATATTGGATCTTCTAAATGAGGCTAGGACGCTCACCTACGAACTAGTTGAAACATTAATACAAATGAATCATCAACTTGGAATCCTTCCAGATCAAATCCCTACAAATATAGGCTAGTATCAAAGACTTGTGGGGTAAGCTAATCT